TTTTTTTGGTTGCAGCTGTCATTGTTGTTTGGTGGGCTGGGCTGGATTCGAACCCGCCACCTTGGGTGTACATGGCTGGCACCTTAGCCACCTGAGCCACAGGCGCCAAGCCGAGATTTTAAAAAGAATAGGTAACAATAACTATATACCTAAGACTTCTGGGAATCAACCTAACACAGTGAATCTTAATATAAACGGGAGGAGGGGAATGATCTAACACCATTAAAATGACTGCTATTAGAAAAAAACAAAACAGAAGATAACAAATATTGAAAATATTGTAGAAAAACTAGAACCCTTGTACACTGATGAAAGAACTATTATATGGTGTACCTGCTATGGAAAACGGTATGGTGCTTCCTCAAAAAATCAGACAGAGAATCCCCATAAGATCCAGCAATTTCACTTCTAGGTACATATCAAAATAACGGTAGCAAGGACTTGAACAGATATTTGTATATCCATATTGATAAGAACATTATTCACACTAGCCGAAAGGTACAAGCAACCCAACTATCTATCAACAAATAAACAGATAAATAGAATGTGGTATACACAATGGAATATCATTCAACCTTTAAAAAGAAGAAAATTATATCATATGCTACAACATGGATGAATTGTGAGGACATTATGCTAAGTGAAATACCACAAGACCATGGGGCATTGTGGCTCACATCTGTAATCCTAACATTCTGGGAGGCCAAGGCAGGTGGATAGCTTGAGCTCAGGAGTTCAAGACCAACCAAGCAAAAGTGAGACCCTATCTCTACTAAAAACAGGAAAACTGAGGCAAGAGGATCACCTGAGCCCAAGAGTTAGAAGTTGTTGCAAGCTATGATGCCACAGCACTCTACACAGGGTGACAGCTGGAGACTGTCTCAAAAAAAAAAAAAAAAGAAAAGAAAAAAGAAATACCACACGATCTATTTATATGAGATATCTCAAATAGTCAACCTCTTAAAAAGTAGAGTTGGTGGTTGCCTGGGTTTGGAGGGAAGGAGAAAAGGGAGATTGTTTACTGAGCTAGAGAATTTCAGTTTTGTAAGGTGAGAAATTTCTAGAAATCTCTTACACAACAATGTGCACATAGTACTGTACTATACACACAAATAAGGTTAAGATGATAAATTTTATGTTCTATGGATTTTACTACCATTGAAAATGTTTCTAATGACCAAAAACATGGGGGGATGGAAGTAGATGAAATAGAAGGACGTAGTTTTCAAAACACATAGCTATTTCTTTCCTTTTCTCTTCCCTATCCTCCCAATTCTGATTTATTGGGGTTGTTTCCAAATGATAGGTTTCCTTTATCCTCACACAATATCTAAAAACAGAGCTACAAGAAAATACTTTCATGTGCTTGTAAGACAGACTAACTACAATATAATCTCATTTAGCAAAAGGAGTTTGTTTTTCACCTTAATATGGTATACAACATGACCTCATGTTCTATTTTACCTTATGCATGAGCATGTGATGATTTATTAAAAAAGCTTTTCTTGCAACTTACCTACAGAGTCTTAGGACCTCAAAATAAACCAACCCACTGGTAAGTAGCTGTAGCCACAAGCCATCTCCATTGTGATTATAGAGGAGAGCAGAAAAGAAGTGAGAAAGGGATAAAGACTAAGCAGAGATAGGAGAAAGATGCTAGGAGACGTAAATCTTTCTGTTCCATATGAAAAAAACAAAGTGAGCTCCATGCTTTCCCAAGCCAACTTGTTTCCTGGAGAATTGGTTTACCATACTGTTATGTATTTTTTCAGAGTTCTGGGATCATGATAATTCATAGTAATGCTATTGGAATATATCTTGATATTTATCAAGACGCCCTCTTGGCTCGGCACCTGTGGCTCAAGTGGCTAAGGCACCAGCCACATACACCTAAGGTGGCAGGTTCAAATCTGGCTCAGGCTGCCAAACAACAATGACGGCTGCAACCAAAAAATAGCCGGGCGCTGTGGTCCCAACTACTTGGGAGGCCAAGGCAGGAGACTTGCTTGAGCCCAGGAGTTGGAGGTTGCTGTGAGCTGTGATGCCACAGCACTCTACCCAGGGTGATAGCTTGAGGCTCTGTCTCCAAAAAAAAAGACTTCCTCTTATAATTTGCACTGTTGGCCTTGTACTTAAGATGGTAAAATGTAGACTAGAAAGAACACCACTACATCTTCAAAAAAACTTTGTTTAATGGCAGCCCTAGCAAACTATTGATAAAATTTTCTTGAATGTCTGTTTCTTTCATGAGAATGGCAAAGAATAATCTTTTGAGGGCAGATTCAATCTGACTCATCTTTATACTTCCTCAAAGTGCTTCTATACATGTTTACTGAACTGATTTAGAGTAGTACTTTTTTTTTTTTTGGAGACAGAGCCTCAAGCTGTCCCCCTGGGTAGAGTGTCGTGGCATTACAGCTCACAGCAACCTCCGACTCCTGGGCTCAAGCGAGTCTCCTGCCTCAGCCTCCCAAGTAGCTGGGACCACAGGCACCCGCCACAACGCCCAGCTATTTTTTGGTTGCAGCCGTCATTGTTGTTTGGTGGGTCCGGGCTGGGGATTCGAACCCACCACCTTAGGTGTACGTGGCTGGCGCCTTAGCCGGTTGAGCTATAGGCGCCGAGCCTAGAGTAGTGCATTTTAAGAGGGTCTTTGACAAACTGGTATTTATCTAGGGGGAGGAGGCAGAGAGTAGAAAACAGAGCTTGATCAGTATGAGCTTATTAACACAGAACAAAACAAATGGTTGTAGAAAATAAAAGGAAGAGATAAGAAACTACAGATTTCTTAAACTATATGATGGGTTGCCATCTGAAAGCAAAAGATGATCTTTTAGGGGTCGTTTTATAAGAAATTAGTCTGAAAATACATGGAGACAGATTTTAGCTGAACACATGAAAAATTTTTTTCAAAAATGAGAGTTGTCCAATAAATAGAGAATGAAATACTCTAAGTAGTCAAGCACAAGTCAGAGGATCAATGACCAAGGATATTGTGCTCTCAATATGAGGATGGCCAATTTCAATGGTTTTTGACTATTTCCTAGCTTATATCTTTTCTTTCTTTCTTTCTTTTTTTTTTTTTTTTTTTTGCAGTTTTTGGCTGGAGCTGGGTTTAAACCCACCACCTCCAGCATATGGGGCCGGCACCCTACTCCTTTGAGCCAGCATACTGGGGCCGGCACCCTACACCTTTGAGCCACAGGTGCTGCTCTCCTATTTTATATCTTAACACGTTATCAGCAAACAGGGACCTACTACAACAAAAACAGGGACCTACCAAAACCCAAGTGGACTTTACTAGTAGAGCAGGTGAAAAATCACAAGCCTTATTTACCTTTAAAGTTCCTTCTATGACCTATAACAACAGTGTAGCAATAACAACACAGGTACTAACACCGGATCTAACCTGTTACCATTCTGTGGGACTAAAAATATGTTTGCCAAATACCCCATTTTTTTCCTGCTCTGTCTTCCTTTCCTACCCCTACTCTATTTTCCTCTTATTTTCTTTACCTTCTTCTGTCTTCCCTTTGTTCATCTAATTGGTTCTTCTTCCTTATTCTCTTCTGTTTCTTCTTGCCTGTTAGATCTTCACCTTTCTTGTGTTCCTTCAGGAGTGGCTTACCTATCTCTCTTTTTCTCAATCATCCTAACGCTAGATAAATACAGCCTTCAACCATTCCTCCTCAAACCAACTCATACTTATGTTCTCTACTTCCTTAAAATAAATCTGATTTCAGAAATCTACTGAACATACAGTACAGAAAAATTTTTTAATACTTTAAAGTTGTATTAAATTTTAAGTAATCTAGAGACACAGTCAACCTGATACCAGCAGCCATGATCATAGGATTTTAATCTATTACTCCTGTCTAACCTATGAAGCCATCCCAAACTTAGAAGAAAACATAGCTCATGTTTGTATATTGATCGTATCAGCAAATAACTAATCTCAGCAGTCTTCTGAGCAAAAAGAGAATTCTTTATAGAGAAGAGAAATGTTGGTGAATACATACTAGTCAGTATGTGTTCCTTACATGGAGAGTATCTAAATCACCTGAAAACTTACTAGAAATGAAAATCTCTGAAAAAATGACATGAAGGCTGTGTTGACCAGTTTGATGGAAGTATTTCAGATTGCATGTGAAAACCCCACACTGTACCCCAGAAGTGCATTAATGTACATAGTTACCATT